TTACTGTTTCAGAAGAACTCTTGAAAAGCAGCTTACAGACTTAAATCAGGCTTTGAATTTGAAAGACACATTTCTGAAAGGTTGCATGGTACACTAACAATTTCTTACTGAAGTTCCATCACTGAAATAGGGATGAATTTTTAATTGTTCCTCTTTGGTTGGAACTGGTTGATTAGAACTAGCAGTCTGGAAATTTCAAGAATGGCTATAATGACTAGCAACCAGGTGCTCAGTCTGCTCAAACTACAGTAAGACTCATCAAGACACTCAAACAAAATGCAGAGGTCTTCTATTGCCTCAAATGTTCATACAGGGTGAGATATTGGGTGGTATTTTACTGAGTGGCTAGTCCTATGATTACAAGTAGCAGAGTCTTGGCTATGGTGACACAGCATTCCAACTACTGAACTTCCATGGAGGAAGACCTGAAGATGCATTAACTTGTATCTCCCTCTCAAAGAACTGCTTGTGATTTATAAGTAGGTGATGAAGCTAAGACTATTAGCTTTCCCCAATTTTATTCACACTGCTGCAATTCATATGGTATCAAACAAATATTTCTTTGCCCAGTCTTCCCACATACAGCAAACCACTGACTTGTACCACTTATGTTCATGATAAACATGCTTAAAAAGGTATTGAGGCTTGATGTGAAGACAACAGGACTTCTCCGAGAAGTTGGTTTCAAATGTTGATTTTCCTATGCTGTTATAAATTACAGATTCCTTCTGTAGTTTGCATTTCTCTGGTATTAATCCTTGGTTTGTCTTTTTTTTTTTCTGCTTGCTTAAATATTCTTCTCGGTGTCTGATTTTTCCTTAGATAAAATATTTTCCTCGTATTTTGTAAATCGGTAAAGAGATTCAGCTTTATCCTTCCTATTTGTCAAAGTAGGATTTTTTTTTCTAACCTAAGAAATCTTTTTCCTATGTTCCCCCCACTAATTGAGAATCATATATATATAAAAAAAAGAATAAAATAACTACAGCTACTAATGCTGCATGAAGTATTTTTAGCATCAATCTCATTTATGGCATATACTATACTGGAACAATTGTTGCTTCATGGACCTATTTGACTACACTTGAGTAACAAAAGACTGAACTAACTGTTTTTTGCTACTGCTCTCCATGGAAAACTCTTATCGAGTTGCTTTGTCCCTTTAACACTTCATCCTTTCAGATCTGGAAGGATATTGGTGAGATATGGATGGATTTTTTTTTTTTTTTTTATATGAGTAAACTAACTTTTGTCATTACTAATCTCTGAAATTACTTCCAAACACAACAAATGTGCAGAATAGCTTTAGGCAAGTCTAACCAGTGCAGTAGGGGGCTGGATTCCATCCTGATTCAGTACATTGTACATCTGCTCTTTCGCCGTATCTGTATCCTTCATCACAGACAAACCGTAGTTGTTCAGATTCCTTGTAAGACCCCTTTGGAGAACGTACCGATCCATGCAGAATTTCTGGCACATCACAGATAATCTCTGAAATTGAGAAAGACAAAATCCATATATTTTTGTTTATGAGAACAAATGCCTATTGGAATAAAATTTAGGTTCTTTTCATTTGACTTCATGAAAACATTTGCATTTAGGAACTGTCTGAAACTTATTTGCGAACTCTTCAATGACCTGAGTGTGGGTGCCAGGTAGAAAGTATGGTGCAGCACAGCATCAATAGCAAACTGGTTCATGTGACAGATTTCAGGGATTTGCTTTGGATTTTAACGGATCTCGGAATCTGTCTATAAGGCAGGGGACATTCTAAAATAACCAAATAGGCTACCTGCAATTTAGGATTTTCAATTTTTCACATAATTTCATTCCTTTGTAATTTCCAGCAAATCTAAAGCTCTCTCATAGTCAGTAGATGATTAGTTAAATCATGGCATCAACAGGAAAAAAAAAATAAACTATCTGGAAAACTGACTCTGGAATGCTTCACTATCTATAAAAGAACCTCAGCATCCCCAGCTCCTTGACAAACCCAATAAAACTACTGAGATCTTGCAGTTTTCAAAAACTATATTCATAAAGCCAGAAAACATTCAAAGCTTTGTTTTCTAGGCCACAGAGCAAGACACCAAATAGTTCTCTTGGATTCCTTTACTGAATTTTCTTTGTATTTAGGAGGAAATATAGCTCAGTGGTACTGTCATTGTTTAATAAAATTCACTATATTATGAAAATATTACAAGCATTATGTGTTTAATCCCACTTCATGCTGTTCAAATTATAATAAATGGTGATTTCAAAGCAGCAAAATGCAGTTTTGAAATTGTGAAAAAAAAGTACATATATCTAACATCCTGACATAGGTACTCTGCTCTTCTAAATGCATACTACCTAATCAGATAACATAAATACCTAAGAAACTTGATGGACTGAATATTTAACAGTGATTGTTACCATAAGCTTCCTGGGATTCATTCTTGTATACTGACAATTCAATCCCATACAATGTCTATTTGCAAAATGGAAGGAATAACCCCATCCACCCTACGAGTTGCAGGTGGGGCAGGGTGGGTCAACTGGCTGAAAAGGAGTTTTGGGGAAAAAAACTTGGCAGTCCTGATGGAGAAGTTGAACAGGGGCCAGCAATGTGCCTTTGCAGAAAAGAAAAATACAGTGTCCTGGGCTCCACTGGGAAGAGTGTTGCCAGCAAGTCAAAAGAGGTGATCCTCCCTTCTACTCGGCACTGGTCAGACCACATCTGGATTCTTGTGTCCAGATCTAAGCTCCTCAGTACAGGAAAGACATGTACATACTGGAGTAGGTCCAATGAAGGGACATGAAGATAATAAAGCAATTGGAAAAACTGACCAATAAAAAGAGGCTTAGAGAGTCTGGAGAAAAGAAGGCTTGGGGTGGGGAGGAAGGACCTTATTTATACGTATAAATTCCTGACTGTGTGGTGGAGCAGGCAGAAGTAAAGATGACGGAGCCAGACACTTCTCATTAATACTCAATGTCAAGATGAGAAGCAATGGGCACAAATTGAAATACAGGAAATACCACTTAAACATAAGAAAAAATAGTTTTACTTAAGAGTTGTTGTCCTGGTTTTTAGTTGGAACAGAGCTGGGTTTCTTTCTAGTAGTTAGAATAGTGCTGTGTTTTGCTATCAGCCTGGGACTTGTTAGGAGAGGAACACTGATAACACACCAGTGTTTGCATTTTTGTCGCTGGAAGTGAAGGACTTTGTGTTCTGTTAGTCCACAAGTGCAAGATCTAAGGGGGTGAGGAATATTTAATTTAATAAGGTAAACTGGCATTTAGATATGCCAATGGGATATTCCAGATCATATCATGTCATGCCCAGTGAGGGGCTCTTCCTCTTTTAGCTCTCTCTGACTTTGGCTTGGGCTCTCGCTCTTCCTGGATTATGGTTTCTGTTCGGGATTGTCGCTGCTCCAGGATCATTATCTGGGAATGGGACGGGCTTGGTCAGTGGGTGGTGAGCAGTTGCACTGGGTATCACTCATTTGCATATTTTGTTACTGTTATCATTATCACTACTATTTTAATATTAGTATTATTTTAAGTTTTCTTTTATTTCTTTTTTTTCAATTGTTCTTATCTCACCCTATGAGTCTCCTTATCCTTGCCCCCCAATCCTCTCCCCTACCCCCTGGGGGTGGGAGGCAGTGGGTGAACGGCTGTGTTGGCTGCTAGCTAAGGGCTAGCCCAGTGAAACTATCACAGTGGTCAATTGCTGGAATAGGTTATCCAAAGAGGCTGTGAAGTTTCCTTCCTTAGAGACATTCCAAAGCCAACTGGACATGATCTTGAGCAACTTGCCCAAGCTGACTGCTTTAAGGGACCTTCAGAGGTCCTTTCCAACCTCACCTATTCTGTGGTTCTGTGGTTCCATAAAAAACTAAACATGAATTAACCTTCTAACTTCTCAAAATACATTAGTCTGAAGAAAGAAAAATCCATCATGATTGCTTTGTACTTTATACACCCAAAGAACATGAATGAATTAAACTCATACTTGTTTTTTAAACCTGGTTCACATAGATGCAAAACTTTGTAATTACTTCAGTTAAATCAACACTGAAGTGATTGAATCTTATGTAGACATACCAAAGCTATTTTCAAATAAATTCACTGAAGACTGGCAAAACATACAGCTTGTAGTGAAAATGGGGAACAAATAGATGGTCCATTATGACTATATTAGCATCCAATATTCTCTGATTTCTCTTATTCTACTTCTTCTGCATATATGCAATAGAGATTGTTTACAGACAAACTATGCTTAATTGCTGTGGAATAAAGTGAAAACTTTGTTGTTTCCCATATGGTAACCACTCCTTAGAAGTCTGTGTGAATAAAGCTTCTTAAATACTGATAATAAATAGTGTCATTTTTACCTTGGCACTGAGGAACATCACTATTCCATTTTCCATTAGAAGAACAAATTATTTCTTTAGATCCAACAAGCTTGTATTTTGCATTACATTCAAAATTTACAACCTGGCCAAAAGAATATTCTCGGCCTAGCTCAAATGCACCAGTCATAATTATTCTTCCATTTTCTGGTGCTTGTACAGGTAAACACTTTGCCACTGAAAAACAGAACAAAACAAAAATAGGCATTCTGATGTGTATTCTGTAAAATAAATTGACACACAAAAAAATTAAAATACTGAAAACTCACAGTCATTTCCTTACACATTTTAAAAATATACACTCTTGTTACATATTCAGATATCATTTGCAAAAGATATAATAGAAACCCCAAAGCAAAAAGATAGACTGATTTAGGAGGAAGCTTGTAGACTGGCTCTCATCATCATCTTCTCTGCCTTTGAAGGCTAAAGACAGAGCACCCAGTGAACTAGATAACCTCCTGAGGTCTCGCCCAATCTAAATTATTATTATGATTCTATGAATTCTATGATGGTTAGAGCCTTGACTGACACATAGGGTCATTAAACTTTGACAAAATAGGTTAATTTACTTTAAAGCTATGCCAAACTGAATTTACTATAGATAAGTATCTGGAAAAGTGCTGTGTTAGTAGACTGCAACAGTTCATAGAATCATCAAATCGTTTGGTTGGACAAGACCTTTGAGATCATCGAGTCCAACCGTACATGTCCACTACTAAACCATATCTCTGAGCAGCTAATCTACCCATTTTTAAAATACCTTCAGGGATGGTGACTCTTCCCTAGGTATCCCGTTCCAGTGCCTGATAACCCTTTCAGTGAAGAAATTTTTCCTGATACCCAATCTGAACCTCCCCTGGCACAACTTGAGGCCATTTCCTCTTGTTCTATCACTAGTTACTTGGGAGAAAAACCCCACCCCCGCCTCACTACAACCTCATTTCAGGTAGTTGTAGACAGTGATAAGGTCTCCCCTCAGCCTCCTTTATTCTAGGCTAAACAACCCCAGTTCCCTCAGCTGCTCCTCCCAGGACTTGTTCTCCAGCCCCTTCACCAGCTTTGTTGCCCTTCTCTGGACATGCTCCAGTGCCTCCATGTCCTTCTTGTAGTGAGGGGCCCACTCAAGTTGAGTTCAGTTACTAACTAAAAATCCCAGTTATCAGAACAATTATATTACTAAAGTAAACAAACACAATATCAGCCATGAATTTAGATCTCTGGTATCTCCTAATTTTGTAACTGTAGAAAGAGGAAGAATTTATGTATGTCATAATTCTTAAATGTTCACATAGATATCACTGAGCATGTACAAAAGTGGCTGGTGTTTTGCCTAGCATAGCTCCCACTTCTCTTTGACAATCCCCATCTTATAAGCCACCTGCCTTTTCTATGAGATCACACTCTATCTTGTAGGTTCCTCACAATTAGGATATTATACAAATGCTTTCATTCATAAACAATCATATTTCAGCCTAATGAAAACTCCTCAATCATGAATGAAAAATCTTACGAGGATTTGCAGTATCTTGGTGACACATGACAAAAAAAGTTGGAAACCATCACCCTATACTGTGCAGACAGAGACCTATATGCTTAAAATTGAGAACACTCAAAATCCAGTAAACTAAATGTGAACTATCTGAGACCAAGGAAATGTCAAAACACAGACAACAAACTCTAGACAAGAGAAAGGTATCTACTTTCATTTGTGATTCTTTATTTAGAGACCCTTTCCTGACATTAGATGGTTAACCTAAAGAGAAATTTCACCACTGTGCACACATGTTAAAATAGACCAGTTAAACATTATCTTTGGCAAGAAAGGAAGCTTATTTTCCTAATCATGCAGGTTTGAAACTGGTGAAAAGATTTCTAAAATCAATGAAGTATCACCTAGCCATGTAGTCTATTAAGTCTTGAGGTCTGGGTCTCTCCTGCTCTCATTCTTACCTACTGAAGTTCTTCCACAGTATGCTAATAGGGAGAAAGATTTATAACAAAATCTTAACGGCTAGGATATTCCAAGGGTGGAGGAGGAAATTAGCTAAATACACACATAAATTCACATACATCAGAAAAGTCTCATCCTAGCTGTCTTTTGCAACCATGTTTTGCAGAAATCTACTCTACCAGGGCCTTTTAGTGAGGCAGAGCTTTAAGGCAGTCTAGGGGTGACAAGATTCCATTTTGTGAATGCTTTTTACTAAAATGGCTGAGCAGTCATTGTAAGAGTTTCACTGATGCATAACTTGAATTTAAACATATATGAATTAATTCTTGTAAAGAGATCACAGACTAGTTCTAGATAGTATCAGACAGATAAAAAGACAGTTTGATAAAGAATTAAATGTCAAACTCCATTTACCTTCACAGTGAGGAATGTCATTGCTCCATCCATTTGCCTGACACTCACGGTAATTTCTTTGGCTGAGCATCTGGTATCTTGCCAAATAAAAAGTAAACAATGTTAACATACATTCTCACTATGTGACAGAAACAGCAGTGTTGCTGTTTTTCAAGCAAATGAAGTAGGTTTTATACAGTCTAGCACTGACTAACCAAATTGTGACAAAACTGAGTAGTTTTTTGGCCTGCATCTTCCCTATTTTGTTTCTTTTAATTACATATGGCAAAAAATTAAAAAACCCCAAACCAACAGAAAGTAAGAGATAATCAGTAAGATGGCTTCTTCATTACAGAGATAGCAAGTTTTGACTACGTAACAAATAACCTAGGAGTAACTTACACAATCAGGAGCAAGCAGAGTAAAACTCCTGTTGCCTGTGCTCTAGTATGACTGAAAGCCATGTGACAGCATCCAAATAGGACTTAATCCAAACCATGTATATCTCATGCTTTGATGAGCTAGTATTATTTTAGGTTTGAGGGCAACATGGCCACAATGCCACGGCTTCTGCTTTGTCTGAAATGCAGTCAGAGGAAGTACAGCTCATCTGAAATGACAGTGAAGAACTGTCCGAACTTAAGGAATTAAGGAGAATGTTGATTTTGGAACTATTTTTGTGGAACTCAGACTAGATTCCAGCAATACAAAGACTGCAAAAGCATGGCTAAATCACCAGACCACGCTTATAGCTGATTTGCATTTCAAGAGGAAAGAATCGAGTCACATACATACTTAACTAAGTACAATACTATGGATTTTCTTGTTGCTTTGCTTTTAATTGGATGATGAATAGAGGAGGAAGAAAGAATAATTTCTTCCAAGCTGTCAGTGAAGACATGTTAGTGAGTCTACCAGAAATGTCTTCCTTCAAACACTTTTTACAATACATTTCACTTCATAATGCACAAAAATGTTTTAAGCAGGACTGATGAGTTGTGGTTCTGAATAGCAGACTGTTGTATGGCTTAATGACTGCACCAACATAACTGCATCATGACTGCCTACTGATTCCAGCATACGAAGCTGCATTTCCATCTGAACTGTCTGACTGGAGGAGTCACGAGGAAGCTTTACAAACAGATCACTATTATTGTTTTCTACTTGGGCAGGCATGATTTCAACTTAGCTACAGCCTTACGTATTGTAGACACTTTGTATGACAGCTTCAGGTGCATGAGTTCAGTCACCCCAGTAGCAGCAGACACGAGAAAGAGTTATCTTTAGTATTACTGTAATTGCAGAAATTTAAATTAAACAATAATGAAGCATTAAATATTAGTAAGTTGCTGCTGCATTAAAGACAAGAAATATATAACTGACACTTCTTTTAATATTAACACCTTATGTTAATTCACATATATTGAATTAAATAAATATTACCCATCATTACATCTGTACTCAACTCTGGCCCCAAATACAAATTCACTTCCACTGGTAAGGTGGAAGGAACCAAACTCAGTATCTCCAGGATGTCCACAGGGCTTATCTGGTGAAAAAAAAAAAAAGAAGAAGAAAAAGAAGTTACTTACAACATACCTAGGAATGTGAAAGTGTGAAAGGTAGCACTTTTCCAGTAATTAGTAGCAAGTTTGGGCCTTCCAAAAAATTAAAAAATGTTCAGCATCAGCTTGATTGACCCCACCTTTTTTAATCACTGTCTTCAATGAGAAGATATTGGAGTAAGGATCTGCTGATTTTTTTTTTTTAATATATAATAAATTAGCAGGTTTTATTCCTTTTAAAAGGCTAAGCTCATCTTAACTTTTATGACAAATTTAATGGCAGGATTTAAGTTCAGTTTTTCATATAACTTGTGACATCAACTGGTTCAAAGCTTCCACTACAGAGTCCATCCGTGACTGGAAATGAAATTTCCTCAGTCTGATGAGAACTGTGCCGAGTAAAGAGGGATGATCTAAGGCCATAGGAGTATTTTGGTCCTCAGTCCCTTCTGCTCAAAGATCCTCACAGGATTTTTCTTGTGGTCTGGCTCTAACTATTTGCCCTGGTTTTCCAAAAGAATTGTAAAGAGGAACATACCATCCCTTTCATTCATCCATTTTTGACGTTATAATACAGACTGTAAAATAAACTGCATAGCTTAAACCTCTTAGGCCTCAAAAGAAATATTTCCTGGTCCCTGTTGACCTAGGCAATTTCATTTCTTGGAGCGTACCAACATCCTTGTTTTTTCCAAGGAAGAGGTCTTTGACTAGGGCCTGAACCTGCTCCAGTGTGATTCAGAGAAAATAGACAACCTCATGATCAATTTTGCTGTCTAATGTGGCCTATCCTGAAAATAGAATGTGATCACTCAATCTGTGGCAGACCATCCTTTTTCACCTTCCACCTGCACCTTGCCAGTGTCACTATCTATTCCCTGGGTGGCAGCATTTACTAAAATATGTTACTAAAAAGCAACATAAAATTTGTATCATCTGAAAGATCCATATTCACTGAGCAGTTACACAAATACATACAAAAAGAGAAAGTGAATAAAAATAAAAAGTAAAAGAAACTAGTAACAACTTTATTAAACATTCATTTTTACTCATGATTTTTATTCATCTCTGTTTGAATGACACTTGGGAATTAATTTTATATTATCAAGCCAAACATTTATATTCTACTAGTAAAAATTTTGTATGTTAGATATGTAAGAAAAAAAGCTTGCATGTCTAAAATTTCTTTGTGTTTAAAACTAATTTATTACAGAAAGAAGTATCTGCTGACTAACAATAACAGACTTCAATTTCTCCACTAATGAATTCTCTGTAAGGGTGTGAGATACTTCTAAATTCTTAACACAGTTTACTACAGATAATAAATAGCAGCTCACATACTAATAATGAATTTTCCTTCACAGATTAAAAGAGAAGGCAGGGAAAAATAGTTTCCCAATTCCAAGAAATTCTATTTTTCATAGAACTAGTTGAATAAACTGAAGACAATACTGTCTCTTGACTCGCATTTAGAAGCTAGGTTAGTGCTTTTATTCTGTTTAGACTGTAAATTTCATATGCATTAGACTTCTTCTAAAATTTTGAAAGCAAGCTCCTACTAATTTAATAACTTGATAACTTAACATAATTCATGTTAATAAGGCTGGCCTAGAGCAAGATTTCTCCTGCAAAGAAAAAAAATTAAAGCTTTGATCTGGAGAAGAGGAACTTCCAAAAATGTTTCCTTATGCATAGATACTTTTTAGGATGAAATTTTAAAGGATGCTGAGATAAGTAAGTTACAGGTAAAGATACAATGGCAATTTCACATTTAAATGACTGGCAAGGAATGGGATCTCTCAGGTCAAATGTTCGCACATATTTTGCATAAATACTTACTTCTGCATTCTGCCAGTGGGAGCCGTTGCTTCCATGATCCATCAGCACACTCAAACACAATTCGTCCAAGTTTTATATATCCAGGCCGACAACTGTATGTTACCTGAGTACCATGTGGATAGGGAGGTTTGTCCCATATTTCAGTAGGCACTTCTTTAACCCTCCTAGGAGGAGGTTCTTCACAAGCTAAAAATTGCAAATAAAAATATTGGTGACTGAATCAGATGCTACAAATGTAAAAATAATTTTACAGTAGAAAACGTAGCAAGAAATCCTGGGGACATTTGTGATCAAATGAGCATATGCTTTCTACTTATTCATCATAAAATAAGAAACTGCCAAGAATCCACATTTTGTGGGAATATAAATAGACATTTAGAAGGACATAAGAACAGTCAATCAAGTGCCAAGAAACCTCATGGGACAGTCATAATTCATGAAAAAGATTTTAGTTACAAAGACTGAGATTAGATTAGTGCCCTGGTTCTAACCACAGACATCTTTTACCCTTTCATCTGCAGGAGCTCCTCCACGCCTGTCCTTCTATTAGCACAGAGAACAACTCCGTGGACTCTGTAGAATTTCCTTTCAAACTATTTTTTTCTGCAGCCACCACCATCTTTGCTGACATTAAATTCACGTGTTAGTTGATCAAGTTCTGTCAAATCTCCCCTTATCTTTACATTGCCTAAACTTTCTCTCCAGGCTGAGATCACCTTATATTCCAAAACTTATTTCGTCCTGTCCATGAGATCACTTTTTATGGCAAGTTACTTATTACACTATGTAATAAATTCTGGGTATTCAGTTTGACCTTTGTTAGCTTCAAAGCATTTTGACTCCGTTTAGGGGGGGTGGATGGTGTTGTCTGATATTTGTCATTAGCTCAATATTATACAGTTCTTCCTCAAAAGCTCCTTCCTGGGCCTTTTTCAGTGGCCATGAAGTGTACAGCCAAGCCCATATGAATTACATTAAATGAGCCTGAATTAATTTTATTAAGAAGTTCCTTAACAGCTTGAGAATGAGAAAAATCAGACTAAAAGGAAAAGAAACAAATGTCAGGAAGTTGTTAATGAAAGACTAGAAGATCTTTCTCAAGAAACATTTTTTTTAATTGTTTATAATAATTGACCTAATTTCAGTGACTAATTCTTTATGCTTGGGTGACTGAAATGTACTTACTTTAAAGGCTGAAGCTTTACCCCAAGTAACAATTCTTTATGCTTGGGTGACTGAAATGTACTTTAAAGGCTGAAGCTTCACCCCAAGTAACGGAGTCTGGACAGTCTAGCTAATTAGATGCAATGAAGTCTGGTTTACATCTGAACATTAAAGGTGACAATTCATCAAGAATAAATAAAACAACCTCTGGGAAATAAAGTCTAGGAAAAGAAATGAAACTTCCACATAGAAAATAAATGGGAGAAGAAATGTCCACCAAGATAGGAAATTCCTTGGTAAGCAGATTCATTACTTCGTAGAGAGCTGGCACAAAAGTCCTCTCACCAGTTTAGAAGGAAATTCCTTGGTGAGCAGATTAGCAGATTCATTACTCAGTAGAGAGCTGGCACAAAAGTCCTCTCACCAGTTTAGTTGTAAGGCTACTGGTTTGAGAAGTAGCAATATTCTCACTGGAGCTTCCCTATGGATTGTCCAGGTGCTGCCTGAAAGTGAGACTACAGGAGAAATATTTAGGATCCTTCCTCATGCAAGGGATGTGGAATTATGGCTTGCTGAACTAAACTGTGGAAATCACAGCTACAGATTAAGTAGCTGTGATTTCTCAAACAAAGTGATCAGATGAAATACTGATTGTTCCACATCAAAGTGTGGAAAATGAGTTTTACTTTAGTTGTACTAAGACATATCCTTGAACTGTTTTTATTTCAGTCAGTGGAGTACCTACCAAATTAAAGGCATAGTTCGAAAATTGTTTAAAAATCAGGAAAAAGATTTGCTACAAGAAAAAAGCCTGTATAATTGTAAGTAAGTGTTCTGTAGCTATGGCATTTTGAAAATATAAAGAATGTTAATTGTGAGATCTAATAACTTTATTTTGGCTGTTTTAAGTATCCAGAAGTAGACAAGCTTTGATGACACTGCTGAGGTGCTAAAGAAAGTATATGCCCACGCATTTACGTTTTTTTCCAACTCCTTCAATAAGTATGCCCCCTCCTAAAAAGGACTAAATCTGAGTAAAAGTTATTGCTTCTGTCCACTAGAGGGTACTACCCTTCTATCAAGAAGGGTAGTAGAAACCTACTTTTCCTAGAAAGATTAAGACACATTCACTTTGTAACAACGTTTTTGCAAAATGCAGGAATAAGTGAAATCAACAACACTCCTGTAGCTAGTTCTGTCTTTCAGATGTGTTAAAAATGCCTAGTTTACCCCCAAAAAGTTATTTGTAAGGGTGAGAAAAAGAGTTTTTCTAATTTTACATATTTTTCATTAGAGTTCATTAAAATTAGTGCTTTCAGTGTGCAAGCTGAGAAAGCACACTCCAAATTCTGTGGTTTAAAAACCAGGTTATTCGGTACAGGGAAAGCTTCTCTGCTGTATTCCTCCCTTACTTCTGAGTTGTGTTATATTTTTATTGTTTGTTGTGCAGAATGTGGCCTCTTATCTCCTCCTTGTTTACATTTAAAAAAAACCAAAACACAAAATATAATCTTCTGAGAGTCTCTACATCATTACCATGACATGCTTCTTGCTGGGTTTTATTTCAGCTCTCTCTGATTGTTCTTTACCACTCCTGCCCTGATGACGTGTTACCGTCAAGTGTCACAGTATGTATATATATTTCTGACTACAGTTAATTATTTAATGCAGTTTCTTAGTAGCTTGAGAAGAAGAAATCTGCTGATAGGATGTGCTTCAAAACTATATTAATTACATCATACACTCACCATGTGTACTCACCAAAATTTGGAGGGGATTGTTTTCATATTAGAAAGCATTCACTAAATGCATACCTTCAGATCCTTTAGTGAGAGACCAAAAGAGCTGGAATTCATGATTTAGTATTTATATGTGACTTGACCTCAGCTAGAAATATCTCAACCTGCTTTCTTGCTGTCATTATGCTGGTAGCTACTTCCATAAAGTCAAGCACAAACTACAAATTCACGTAGAAGTATTTTTCAGCCCTTTTGCAAACACCCAGCTGTTGAACAACTCACACTGACTTTCAATACGAAGCTTGAACAAAGAACCCTGCATGACCCATGGTAATAGTTGTGCCAGATAAATCAAATATTGCTACATTCACATTCCTTTGCAATCTCTCTGATCTCAAGAAAGCATTATGAAAACAAAGTGCAAATTCAGGCAAACTTTATTTTCAAATTCCATTACTTTTCTGGACTTCTTTGCAAACAAATTAGACTGTTTTAGTTGCTTTGGAGCAGTATTTATTATGAGCATATATAAAAAAAGATAATACATTTCAGTAATGTCCTGATTTTTAATTTTTTCCAAAGTAAAATCCATCAGATTGCTTTGATTAGTAAGGTCTTCATAATCTTCACCTAAAATTAAAAACAACCTGAACTGAGCAAAGACACACTAGCTCAAAAATACATAGCACCCTTTCTGCAACAGGCTATGTAAAGAAATCCAGACAGAAAGCAGAACAATTGAATTACTAAACATACATTAAAAAAAATATAAACACAATACCAATAAAAATAAATAGAACAGAGAAGCAGAAAATATCAGAGGCTTCTGAAAAGATATCCACAATACTATGTACCTCTTTAAACATATATGAAAGCACACCTGTATACACTTACCTAATTTAGTGGATTAAAACCAGTCTGTCAGTCAAACAGATATTTTGTAAGATTTTTCAGTCAATTTAGTAATCATTCTTCTTGCTCAGATTTTCTCAGAGATTATTCCAGACAGAAAGAAATGCACATTTATTGAATATTTCCTAATTTAATGTACCAGCTGTTTATAGGTTTTAGATGTTAGAATAATTAACAAACATAATCAATAACAATAACAAATGAGTTGTCTGACTGTAGTTTATAGGGATACTAACCATTAAAAAAAGTTGTGCAACAGATTAATAACAGCAGTACTTATCCAAATAAAAAAAGAGAAATAATACTTAGGATACGAAATACTAAAGGTGCTAAATACTGTCAGAAGAAATCTCAACTATTGTTGTCAGAACTTCATTAAAATAGGCTACAATGCAAACATTTTATTTACATATTGTTTTAGTTACCATCTTCACATATACTTTAATAAAGGGTTTTTTTTTTTCCACATTAAAGCTTACCTCTTTCTGCAGTACAATACATCCAACATAACAGCAGAGCTGCATAGCTCAGGAACGACATCCTAGAAATTTACAAACTCAGCAAACACATTTAGTATCGTAGCCCACTTCTTTTTATTACTTCATGTTATTTCCACTCCTATTTTATTCACTAACTGCTCCAGGGACTGACCTTGCAAAGCATTTATACTCTGATTTCATCAGTCACTTCCTCTAATCCTCTTGCAACATACAAGTGTGGCTTTTTTTTTTTTTTTTCCTCTCCAAACTTTGCTAAATGAATAAATAAATAAAAGGTCTGTCTATTTTGGCTGACACAGTTCTTCCCTGTGGTCTGCTTCTTTTTACATCACACCTAATTTTTTTTCATACAAGGAAGTTGTACAAATAAATTATTTTGTGAGTACTTGTGTCCTATATGCTTAGTTAAAAACCAGAAATACACATTAAATGTGTGAAAAAATGAACTTCTCTACTATTCACACATCATTCAAGATCTATGTTGAAAACAAATACAACAAAAAGCAGACAAGTGACTTATTAACCCACTGGTTCTTGTATAGTATAGCCAACTACCCAGAGCACAGAAAATGTACTCAATCAAATAATTAAAGAAAGTCAGGTGACGTTGAGGCACTTGTTTTAGTATCACATGAGAAATTATAAGATGGAGAAGATTTGAATTAATTGCAAGACAGATAATGAACTATCCAAGAAAAATAACAATGGCTGTGCTAAAAGAACAATTATATGGCAAACTAGGTTAACAGAGGAACTCCTCATGGATACATGTAAACAACAGTCTTATTAATATTTTAATTAAATGTCTTAGCTTTATAAGAAATGCACTCCATTTGAAATGTGAATCATATGAAGATAATTGTGTGATACTGAGAATTAGGAAAAAAAAAAGTAAGAGCACAAAGTGCTCTCAGGAGTTGGACACAAAACAGCTGCACACCAGATACCCTGTAGTGGTGATGCCTGACTGGCATGGAGTATACACAGACCAATCCTGTATATGCTCCCAAAACACCACATAACATACCCGTAAAATCACTCAGTCTACTGATGTAGGATCAAAACCAGTGCGTTTAGAGAACAGATCTCAAATCAAATCTGAATTCCAAAGCAGTTACAACTTTTTTTCTTCTCAAAATGCAGCTGGATTTTTTTTTATTATTTTTAAAATTTATTTTCTTTTTAACTGGGCTGTGTTTTCAGTTACCAATTCTAAGAAAGGCCTTTGAGAAGTAATTATGCAACCAAAGGCAGCTGAATTTTACCTATGGAAGTAAAAATATTGCTTTGAAAATTGGTGTGACCACACTCAGACAGTGCTGTGGGTACAGGCAGATAGTCAAAATATGACCACGAATCCCCTGTTCTAGAAAAACTGCATGTCAAGATATAGGATCACAGCAAAGTTCAGGTTGGAAGGGACTGCAGGAAGTTATCTTGCCCAAAACTCCTGCACAAAGTAGAGTCAACTATGAGGTCAGACCAAGTTACTCAAGACTTTATCCTTTCCCTGTGCAATGTGGGGGCTTAACATCAAAATTTAGAGTGTTTCTTCAAACCAAAATGATTTTGAGAACAGCGTTTGGAAGCCATTTTGTATTAGGAACACAGGTCTGAGGAAGTTAGTGTATTCCAGTAGGGAACTAGTGATGACTAGGAATAGGAGGTTAATTAGTCACTGCTGGAATAGCACCTCTGACCAGTATAATTTCAGCATGTTCTAACAGCATGCTTGCTGTCACACTTGAGTTTAATTACATCATTAGAGCCCATAGAATTTTAGAACCAATCACTCTTTTGCCCAAAATTCTTCATGAAAAGGTCCTATCCTACTATATTAATAATGAGAATATATTTTCATTGTCACCAGTTGTCTTTCCTCCCACTGTCAGACAACTTCTCTAACTCAAAATGACATTACACATCACATAATATCTACAATTACAACTTAATGGTGTGACAGGGAGACACTGCACAGTTCACTTAGTTCCAAATCACAGTCAGACTGGTTTATTGATTTATTAATAGCATATCATTAACTGGCAATCAGTGAAATATCCATTCAGGTTCAGTATTGTCAATACAACAGATAAGACACTGTTAATAGACAAAAATGCTAATCAACACCTAACAAATTTCTAAACAACCTTTCTTCGTTAATTCCCCAAGTTCAAACCATGCACACAAAGTTGTGCAGCCATCCACTCATGGTTGTACATACACCTAGTCCCCCCTCTCACACATACCTTCTGTAGGAACTGTGGCTGCTTAATGTGTACCTGTGCTGCACCTTACAGCCTGCTAACACACACACTAGGGAGAGAGCACCACGCAAGGTCACATACTCAGACCCAGTTGTGAGTCCCTACCTGTTGCACCCTGCACTGTCACTGCCTGAGCTGGATGCAGGCTGCTGGCAGAGTCTGATAGGGACGATGCTCTGCCTGGCCCAAACAGAGGTTTTGAAAGCAGTGGGTGAAAATACTGTCAAAACCCAACTCCTCTGGCTTTGACTGCTCACTCTGTTCCCACTGGTCTCCCTCCTCTTACAAAGTTTCATTTGCCCCTTACATTTCGTTCCAAATTGGAACCTCTTATGTTTCAAAACTCTGAAACTCACTGGTTACTGTTTAATCTGGCTAAAGGTCAGCATCCCCTTTAATATGATCAGCCGTAGCATATGCACTTTCAAACAATTCTGAATTCTTGAACTCACACTCCCATCTTAACAGCTGTTGTTATTTAGCCCATTTTACCAAGACTGGGCCATGTGAGCACCCTTGCAAACAGAAAAACAATATTAAGAATTCTTTGAATATTCCTTCAGCTTCTTCTAACCCAAATTAGCTAACAGTGTGTGCTTAGGCAGGGTTTTGCACCAATGACAGGAGAAATACCATGTCCAATTCTAAAAGTATTTTGTACCACTCTTCAGATTACTCTTGTTTAAGTACCACCTCATTCACCTGCCTTGGTGCTCTGTACTCAAAAGTGAAGTGAAAACAACTTGAAAAGGTGTTCCTTGGGTGGAAAAAAAAAGAAGAAAAAAAAAAGAAAGATGCTCCCCTATATCAAAGCGGCTGACAGGATCTCTAGTTTTAAATTAAGTCCTCCTACTCGCAGCCAAGTGGAGATTTACTAGAAGGCTATTCAGAGGATATCACCATTTCCCACCACCTCTCTCCCTCCTGCTGCAGTGCTGCTATTCCTCTTGTTCCTACAGTTTCTTTCCACATCACCAGAGGTGTCAGAAGACTGAGGTGCACCAGGGCCATGGTTAGCCCTGAAGTGGATGCTGATCCTTTTTGGATCAGTGCTACGATGGTTTAGCATATAAGAATAAAAAGATCAGGTCACGCTGTGTGCCCTGTGTCTGAAACAGCCTTATCAGGATCACGCTTGCAGTACAGACTCATGCTCACTGGGCTATGGAAAACATAACCTCTATCTACCAAGATTTCAGTTTAATTAGACACATGACAAGGCACCCAAAACCACCTCTCATTTTTTTATAATTCTTTCAGAGGAATTATCAAATTGGAAATTCCTCACATTTCGCCTTCTGTCCTAGCTTTGCAGCTTTAGAGTGACCTTAAAACTCTGTTCTCACTTTGGGCTATTTTAGTCTGTTGCTGTTTCTGAATCCCTATCAAACCTTTTGTGCCAGCAGAACAGTTTGCTACTGCACAGCCATTTAAAAAATAGGCACCAAGTGGAAAGATAGGAAGACTCCAAGAACATTTTTCCTTGAAGTTTAAATAATACCAAACGTGGAAGGGCAGGCATATTTTTGGAAAAAAAAAAACACATGGAGCAGTTTGGAGCTTGTGCTGCTGCTTGTAGAAAATTATGATTATCAGAGGGGTTTTTTTAAGTTTCATTATGTTATTAGCAGTATTCCCTCAATGGCTGTGCTTTCTTAAAGGACAATTATAATTATAATCAAATATTCCTGTTACTAGTCCAGTACACAACCCAGCTACCTAGCAAAGAGGTGAACACTTTTCTTTCTGCAGAAACACTGCAGAAGCTTACTGGACAATATAATTATTATTTATGCTATGGTAGTACTCAGACCCACCCCCAGACTGTACTTTAAGATTCAGAATGAACTGAAAATGGGCCCTATGCCTAACAGCTAAAAGTCTAGTAAGCCATAACAAATGTACATTTAAACTAATAAACAAAAAAGGGACAAACCCAAAATGCTCATGTTGACCTAACTCACTGGCAAGTTATTTTTCAGAAAAGGATGTGAAAGAGAAGAGTGGCATTGCGGCAGTAATTCCTTTGCAGCAAGGGAGAAGTAAGAAAATTATGATGCTTTCCAATTACAGTGTGTGGGAACATTTTAAGATGCAAGACAGAAGTAATCATTTGAGTAGAAAATTACACCAAATAATAAGGCAAAGTCCAGGCAGTCCTTGGAATTGAAATGGAAAGAAGGAGTTGATCTTTGATCTAACAGATATGGTGTTAGGGTCACAAAAACGGGGTAGGTAAAAAAGCCTGCCCTTACCCAAGCAGTAACTGTCACACAAAATGATGGGTCAAAGAAGAAATGTATGTTAGATTATACAAAATAAATGTGTGAGAACCAGGTATTGTGGATGCAAGGATTTAAAATTACAATCTTAAAAGTACTGAGGGCCCTATAAACGTTGCACTGCTCAGCAACATCCCTTTGTTTTCCATCAACTTCAAGAAGCATAAGTATTGGATATAGGTAAAATGGAAGGCTATATGACTTACTTAAAGGTCATTTTGCCCTCTTGCAACTCAATAGGAACCTATTTAGGCATCCTGGCCTGAGCTATGTCCATTACCAACCCTAATGCTGAAACTCTATTTTCTGAGATAAACAGTATTTATCAGCAAGGACTCATTGTCAGAATTTCATCTAGGCACATTTTGTTGTGTTTTTTCCTACAGAAGACTCTGCCTTTGCAGACTATTTTGGAAGTGAAATTGTAGCTAAAGTGAATCAAATATTGTTTAGGTACAGTTTACTAATCTAAATCCCAAATAATTTTGTGAACT